CCCCCCCAAAAACGAACCAATGCTGAATGATTGATATATCAGCTCGGCCCCAAACCAACCAAATATAAAGCTTCAAGGTGAGACATCATCCTGCGCAATGCGCGTCTACCCGACGTTACGCCAGGCTTCCTTTTCCCTTTCCTTTGTCTTTTCCCGGCTTCGAGGGTGGGAATCCTGCCAGCAATCAATCAGCCCATGCCTTGCTTTGCTTTGCTTTGAAATCCGAAAAGAAAAGACCGCCGGACAACAGGGGAAACTCACTCTCCTCGTCCAAAAGCGTCTGCTGCCTCCAGCTCTCCTCCACCCACCCCGTACTCACGAAATGCGGGATCCTATCCGCCGCAGCCCACTGCTCTCGTAGGGATCTGTACTCAGTCACCAACAAACCCGTCGGCTGGAGGATGACATGGGTGATGGCCGGGTCCTGGGCGGTGTCGACCACTCGAGCCCCGGCGAACCGCGCCGTGTTTCTGGTCAGCTGGAGTGGGTGGTGGTGGTGGTGGTGGGATTGGAGGGTGTCCAACTCCCCGAAGTCATTGTCGGGGCTATCCTCCGTGGTGGTTGGGTGTGCCAACTCGGGGAAGTAAAAGACTAGACCGTCGAAGAGCCAGCCGCAGGGGAGTGGCCATCCGGAGTGGATCTTGTCGTAGAGATGTCCCTTGAGTTTGTCGAGGGCCTTGGAGTGGCCGGGAGAGACGTTCGTCTCGTTCATCTTCTTCAATATCTACGGACATGGTCAGTGAAGACGAAACGAGAGAGCCTCGGGTGTCTGGGGTAGCCACCTCGCTCAGCTCCTCCAGCGTGGTATCCCGTGCGTAGCTGTCGTTGAAGCGGTCGACGCTCGCAGTCACCTCCGCCTCCTTCTCCGGTGTTGTATAGAACATATGCCTGCTAAATCAGCCACCGAGCTTGCAGTCGCAGAAAAAGACCTACCTAGGCTCCGTAGGAAGAAGTAGATCCGCAAGACCTGCGTCAATCTCACTCTGTCGAATACAGTCCAGGATCCAGGACGGGCGAACGATGTCCACCTCGCCCGTTTTCTGCAGCGAAGCCGCCTTGACCGTTCCTGTTTTCGGTCAGTCGATCCGACATCCTCTCCAAGAAGAAAAGCTTACTTCTATCAGCCACGCAGATCATGTCCGGAGCCGCCGTATTCGTCTGATAGAACTTGCCGCCATGGCTCTTCACCAGCTGTTCCAGTTCCGCCTTGGTCTTCTTGACTGGGGCAGTGGAGTCGGTCATGACGACTAAACACCCGCATCAGTAATGTAACCAATTCAGAACTCGACTCGTCCGGGACAAAAACATACAAAAGTTCAGCCCGTCAAAGATATGCCCCGACGGACCGGCCGACGTGACCTCCGCCCTCTCATCATACCCAGCAATCGCCAAGGGTTTCTTGGTGGACTTCTTCTGGCGCTTCTTGCGGAAGTTCTCCACGTTGAACGCCTTCTCCTTCTGCTCCTGCTCCACGTTGGACTTGAGGTCCAGGAACTCCTGCACCGACAGCGCACTCGTCCAGTCCTTGTCGCCGCGCAGCCGCTTGAACCGCGGGAAGCGCAGTGTCAGGCCCATGCGGAACTGGTCACTGACCGAGACCGAGGCGGCCTTGACACAGAGCACCACCGAGTCTTCGGGCTTGATCCACATATCCGGCCGCTCGTGCTGCGCGTGGCCCGCGCCCGCCAGCTCGATGTACGCCAGGGGCGGCTTCTTCGGGTTCCACTCCTTCCACTTGCCGTCCGTGTGGTGGCGGATGTTCGCGTAGTCCGCCGCCGTGAACCCACCGCCGACCTTGCAGAACGAGTAGCACTTGGACGGCTCGGCGGCGTGGTGCTGTGACGACGTCGTCGAGTCGTCCACCCGCAGTCCGCACAGGAAGCTGGAGAGGGCGCCGCCGCGATGGCCGCTGCCGTAGTAGCCCCCGATGACGACGAGGTCCAGCGACTCCCCGAACTCGGTCATGTACTCCGGCTTCACCTTCATCCAGTCGTCATGGCGCTCGTTCAACCGGTACGGGGAGCGCGGGTTCTTCAACACCAAGCCCTCCGAGGCTTCGGCGACGACCCGACGCAGCGAGGCCTCGACCTCGGCGGTGCTGGTGGCCTCTTCGTACGGGTGGACCTCGAACCGGCGATGGACGTCTTTGACGCTCTTCTGTAGCGCATTCCGGCGGTCTCGCAGCGTGTACCGCGTCAGGTCATGGCCATTCAGGTACAAGATGTCAAAGATCCGGAACAGCGGCCGCGAGCCATTGGCAAAGGGGTTCCGCTGCTCGGCGATGGCCGCCGACTTGAGGGTCCCAAAGGGCTCCGGGGCGTCCTGCTCGGGGTTCCAGGCGATCATCTCGCCGTCCAGGATCACGCTCTCGACGCCGTCGGCAAACGCATCGGCCAGGTGCCTCGTCAGCGCGCCGTTCTCATCCGACAGCCCATTCCCGTACAGATAGGTATAATCCTTAGCCTTGCGTGACCAGAACCGAAACCGCCTGCCGCCATCGACCTCCTCATCCGGGCCCATATGTAACTGCATGCGCTCGCCATCCAACTTCTCCTCGATCCAAAACTCGCCCTGTTCCTCATTCCCCTCACCCTTATCCCCCACCGCGACCCCGCGCATCTTCGCAACCATCTTCTCCAAACTCTGCACCTGAAACTGCGCTAACTGCGGCTGAAAGC